GTTGCGGAGTGGAAGCGCGCACTGCTTACCACTACACCACAGCGGCATAGTATTCATTTTTACTATGCATTATTTCCCTCAGTGTAGGTAAAATTTTTAAATGCCAAAAATTATATGTCCAGTTTTTAAGTTATGACAAGTTTATGTTCAACTTTTAAGCTATCAAAAGTATTTGTTCACTTTTCAAAACAAAAAAATTTATGTCCAAGTTTTTAAGACAAAGAAATTGAATTTCCCAAAACTGTGTGTGCAGTCTTTAAATCGTCCATAATTTATGTCCAGTTTCTCGATTTTTCCAAATGTTAAATTATCAAAAGTTTGTTTTCATTTTTTAAGCTACACGAAATTTATGTGCTGTTTTCAAAGAGGAAAAAATTATGTCCAAAATCAAAACCTATGTAAGAAGCTATGTATCTCGGATAGGGCGTTATTCAACCAAATTCTGAGATAGGCCGTTTTTCAATCAAATACTGAAGTAGGGCGTTCTTAAAAAGTGCGTTTTCGAACTGGCCGCTGAGATAGCTTGAACTTTCACTCTGGTATCGATATATTCCTCACTTAAGTATAGTATTATCTTCACTTTTTTTAACTTTTTATTGGTATTATTTAAACCGCAAAGTAAGGAAGATGGATTTATCTTCTTATTCCGAGAATTTAAGAGATCACTCTTGCGTAGTCCATTTGTAAAAATACAGAGATATAGAGAAAAATACTGTGATTTATTTAAAACTAGTTTCGAAATCATAAAGAACAACTGAAGAGCTGAAAACTTTTAAGAATACACAAAAGAACACACATCATCCGACATAAAATACGTACTTTATAACACTGTTATCTGAAGGTTTTAAGTGAGGCATCTTATAGTGACTTTCTGTTCCTTAAATTTAAATTTCAAGCTTAAGTTTTTCTTCTATTAAATAGATCAGTTCTATAACCAGTAAGACTTACTTAGATGTACTTATCTAAAAACTTTCGTATCTAAAAATTTTTATTATGTATCTATATACCTTGAAAATTCAGAATTAAGTCCAATAATCTCAACTGATTTCTATGTAGTTCGTTAACTCTACAAATATTTGTATCTATATGGAACTTTGATCTTGACAGTGAATGTCGAACGCTAATAGCAAAACTTCAGTCGAATAAAATCTCTCCAAGGACAAACTTTTCTGTGAACCATAGGATATTTTAAAATGTTTCAAAGCCGAACTTGGTTTACCTGTTTATAAATTTTACATTATACACGATACGTATGTACGTATATGTACATACGTATGTATATATTTATTTAGAGAATTGTATTCCATTTTAAACTACTCTACTAACTTTCCTTCCTACCATTTCTTTTCTTTACAGTCACAGAAAAAGAAATTCGACAATGGTGAGTACACATGCATTGGATTTAAATAAGTAGCATAGGATTATTAAATATTTAATCAGATTGAAAAGCATTTTAACAAAAGAAATGAAGTTAGCAACCAAAAGAAGAGGACAATTATTTGAATGCGAAATAGCTTCAACTAAAACTGTTAGCTCTCTTCTTGAATATATTTGCATTAAAATCCTTTGAAAGTTACACAAAAAAGGAACAGCGAAACATCGCGACTCAGCAACAAGCACTAACTTACCGACTTAATAACCTTACACATTCTATTCGCGTTTTTCTTAAATTTCTAAGCATGCCACTGACATTAAGCAACCGCATTACTGTTGATATAGGCCACAATTCTTCGTATGGGGAAGCCAAAGAAACAGCAAGAAAAAATAACGCAAAGCCACGCAAAATGTATTTCAGCTGCCAGCTAAGCTTCCTACTGGAATCGGTTGCTTCTCCTACTACTTAAAAGCTTAAAAACTTGGAATTGAATTAGTGCACCAAAAGCAGAGAATTTAATTCAATTGAAGCGTATTAACAAAAAAACAAACATTATTGTGAAGTAAGGCATCCTAAAAGCAGTAAGATACAATATTGTTTAAATGAGAGTTGACGGCAAATTTACAACGCCATTCCACGCTTTACAATTCGGTATTCGAAATGTGAAGCAGATGGTGGCGCTTAAAGCAAAGCGAACAGGTGGCTTAGTCATAAGTAGCAGATTATATGGCTTTCCACGCAAACTACCTCAAGCAAATTCCCTTTTCTGCTATTAGAAATAGTATGTATTTTCACATGTATGAATTTGAAGTTGTACATTAATTTATCTGTAGATACAAAAGTATGAATACAGCTAAACGCACAATTTGTGCCCTAAATTATTCGAAATGGAATTTTAATTAGTTTGAAAATGTATTTTGTGTAGATTAATGTAGATTAAATGAATTTTAATTGCCCCCGCCTCGCTGATGGACCCATTTGCGGTGCTGATGGCACATAAAGAATATTCCAAGACATGGCAAGTTAAGCAAATTTTCCGCGGATTTGTAAATTACCAAGCTTAAAAGCCATTGCTCCACAATGAAGCACCCAAACAGAGTGTACGGCAAGGAGTTGCTTGAAATTTAATAGACAGCGCAAATTACAAAATGACTAGCTGGAAATTTTATGGAGATTTTAGAATGACATTAGCTTTAAGTTTGTTACAAGTGTATGCAAAACAAATTAAAGCATTTTTACTTTTTCATTCGATCGCTACAAAACCCTGTGGTAGATGACAACAACTCTATTCTTTTGAAGCAGTCTGGACGAGTCCTACTGATACTGCTATTAAACGTTGCTAAGTCACGGAATAGAGTAGGGATAATGTTCATTCCAGAACTTAGAAGAAGCAACTACTACGAAACTAAACCATTGAAGCCAATAAGTCTAATTTCGCTTTTGCTGAAAGCAATCGGCAATGAAATAAGATTAAATAGTCTGAAACGGGCTCCATTTCAGACCACTCCGAATGAAGTGCATTTGGTGTGGGAAGGTCTACGAAAACTGTGCGCGTTGTCTACAGAGATACAAGGGTTGTGTTTTCCTCTACATTGAGAAACCTGCGATAATACGTCTGATTCAGGCTTACGTCAGGCATTATAGAAACGAAATGTGCAAACTATACACAGACGAATAGCTTAGCTAATTCAAACAAGAATTACTCAGTTTCAGCATTTAAGACAACCTGGTACAGTTTCAAATAACAAAGTTGTGATCGCAAAGTGGTGTACGACAACCTGTCCTGTGTAGCCTAGAAGTAGATGTATTTCTATAAGTCTTACTTAACAAAGGCATTCGCTGCTTGGAATATGCAGGTGCCTAAAGCCTGCTTTTCATTAGCTCATATTTGACGCCAAATGTTGTCAAAATAATGAAAACGGGTTGTCATCTGGTGTCATTTGCGTTTGTTGTCATATATCACCACGCAGGGTCATATAAAATGACATCCAAATGAAAACGGCTCTCGCCGTTGATTTGGCAGCATTTGACAACCAAAATGTATTTGCCAACATGTTGGCAATTTTGATTTCGTTTGCCATGCGAACAGCTGATTCTAGCTACAATACGGACCGTTTAGCTACAAAAAAACCAAAAATGCAGATCGATAGAACTTTTCACGCTAATTTCAACCATACCTAAATTATTTGGAGCGAGTCAAAAACAAAGTAAATATAACAGGTTAAACTTCAACTTTCCTATTTCTTATATGTTAAATATCTCAAAAACGACTTGACCGATTAGAAAAGTATTGAATCCAATTCAAAGAGAATTCAAATAGCTTTTTTACGACGTATTTACTATAACCATTTGTTAAAACAAATTTTTGGTAAACGAATTTTAAAGAAAATATATATACTATTTCGATTTTTTCCACTACTTTCGTTAGATTTTGCCCTATAACAAACCTTTCTATATAAGGTAATAACTTGTACTTTCTAAATAATATAAATTTCTGTAACATTAATTATGCAATTTTCTACAAAAAAGGTAATTTAACGAAAAAATAATTTTTTTGTTTTTGACTCAAAAATATAAAAAATCAGAAAAATTATGTACATCAACTGAAAGATAAACTAATCATCCTTATTTTGCCATCATTAGTTGTTTAATCGGTTATGTAGTTCATAAGATATTAATATTTCAAAATACTTAACCTACTATATCTTCTTAATTTTTTACTTGCGCTAAATAATTTTGGTAAGGTTAAAATCAGCATGAAGAGTTCTATCCAATTACATGCTTGGTTTGTCTATAGCTAAACGGCCGGTATTCTTCACTTTTTGTAAAAACATCACATTTGACATCAGTAATGAAAACGGAATGTCAATCATCTGACACCGAAATTTGACGACAGTCTTTGACATGCACTGCGGTATCGACATTTGGTCAGTTTTTAAAATGTAATGAAAACGCATTTGAGATCAAATGAACAGCTGTCAGATGAAGGCAGTTTTTGATGTCAGTGATTTTGACCTAATGAAAACCAGCCTTTAAGTAATAATTGACAAAGCGAAATTTTTTCATTAATAGAAATATTAAAAAAAACTGCACTCAAACTCTTTTAATAAAACCACAAATTAAAAAGTGACCCATAATACCCCTCGATCATCAAGGGTTAAATTTTTTTTGCGAAATATGTGCAAAAACAAAAAAAATCGTGCCATAATTTATATTTGCCAAATGTTGGTCATATTTCCTATAGCGCTCTGAGCAGAATGTTTCAATAAACAACAAGTTGGTGTGCTTTGTTGAACTCGGCCAAAATTGCTTAGGCGGTTACAGAACCAAAGAAGAAGACGAAGAAGTAAGTTGGCTTAACAACGATTTAATCGCGCTTAGAAAATTTAACTTCTAATGACAAGGAGATTTTGTATCGGATTTTTCGTTCCTTTGAACTTTTCATGCCACCTACACAAGTTTAGGTGGGAAGGACTCTTTTCAAAAAGAAGTTTGGCTTCACTTTACACAAATAGGGAGGATATCTAAGCTCTAGGAGATCGAATCTAATACAAAGCTTATCAGGATGACAGGTCTATGGCAAATTAGAAGCTAAGTTACATCTGGATTTGTAATCTTACTAGATATTATTATTATTATTAGATATCTATGTGGTATATAATTGTACATATGTACGTATATACTATCTCTAATTTACTTTATTTATTTTTTCTTCGCACAGGCACAAAGGTTTTCTCAAAGACTGTCCGAATGGTCTACTGACGGAGCAAGTAAGTAAATGAATGTAATTTATAAACATACTCGTCTCTTAATTTTTAATACCTCTATAAAAGAGAACATACATTTTTTGTTCGAACATTTTCACACATATTCAATACACATACATACAATGAATCCAATCAAAATAGTTTTATGTAATAGTTTAGCTGAAATATTCGTTGGCTGATTTAAAAGAAAAGTACTGCAAATAAACCTAAACGGTTGCTTCATAGTGCTAAAGATGTATGTATGTGAATATGTACCTACTAAGTTTACAAACAAATTTATTGCCTGCTATGTACCGGAAAGAATAATGCAAAACAAAACTCAAATTTATGGCGAATTTCGCCTCGGATTGTAAGAACAAAAAAACCCCAGAAAACATAAAACTTACAAAATGTGTGTAAACCAGCGACCAAAAACCAGCAAATGTATGTACGTTAGGGTGGTCCCAAAATGCATGTGGAAAAAGTTAAGTCGGAATTTTTAGGCTCTAGCCGCCTAGGATTGTTCTATANAAACAGAAAACTCTGTTTCTCTCCAAGAGACTCTCGGTAATAATACTCAATTATATATTTAACTCAATTATATAGTAACTATATTTTATAGGTCCCACAAAACCCCCAGAAAATGCCAGAGTAAGCAATGGGGGGATAAATGAAAAATATTTAGTATTAAAAAATTGCTTAATAAACAATTGGATATTGTTACTGGAAGTCTTCTGAAGAGGACCAGAGCTTACCAATCGAAAATATTGATTTTCATGAATTCTATACCATTTATAGGAAAAATTGTTTTCCCCCATATAAAATACATTGAAAACTTTGAGCTCTTTGAGCGCCTCTAAAAAAAATTTTGGTTTCAAAATAAAAAATTTGGGTATATTTTTTTCGATATAAAACAGTCCATGGCGATGGGAGTATTAAATGCCGACTTTACTTATTTTGGTCCACCCTAATGTGCGTACATATGTACATATGTATGTATGCAAGTGTAAGAATAAAGCCGAAGCAAACTCCAAGTTTTTGTGGTTAACACTAAACCATAACGGACGATTTAAATTTCTGTTTCTACCACTTTACGCCACTGGGATTTAGAATTTTTACGACAAGCAGTAAAAGGCATACTTTCTTATGTAACTACTGGCAGAGGCGAAGTAAGCAAATACACATGGTCTGAGAATGTTTTTGTTTTTGCTTGCGTAAAATTTGTTTACCAATTTTATTCAACATTTCTCAAACTAACAACCTACATGCATATGCACATACATACCTATGTACATATATCTAAGTTGAATGCATATGTATGTAAATTTTTCAAAAGAACATCTTCTGTTTTAACAACACTTGTATATGCATGCATATGTGCATATTAAAGTATTAAAGTTTGCATATGTATTTGGAAATACTCGTAAAAATACAAAAATATTATGGCTCTCATTTCAAAGGGTTTTTTGTGCCGGCTAGCACTTCCATTGTTGTTGCTCTCGTATGTATATTTAATCCACGCGCTTGCTCCAGTATACCAATATATGAAAATATATGCATTTGGCTTGTTTGTTGTTACTGCAGCTTGACGCATTAAACGAATATTCTGCCGTCAGCTGTTCGCTTCATCGTTATGCAAACGATACACAAGCCAGCAGACGCCCACGTCACTCGCGCAACAGAAACCATAACAAAAACAATAATATTTTCTTCGCTTCAACGGCTATGCGCCTAAAAATATGCCTGATGAATGAAATTTATACTTGAAATGTAGCTTGAGTTGTAGGCAGAGGTACGGTGCGGCAAGTTCGATAGAAGTTTTCGTAGATAAAAAAAAAAACACTCGTGCTGGGATTCTGGAAATCGCTATGCTAACTTTCAGTTAACCAACATTAATAAACGAACAGCAGGTGTGCCTAAAAATATGCAATGCCTTCAGAGAAATATTTCGGTTTCTTCTGTTAAAAATTTCTTATTGCACCCCTTTCATTTATATAATTTCGCACAACTTTACATTTCAAGGCCAGCATGCAGCTCTCAAGAAAAGCAAAAACTCCATATAAAATGACGTACAAGAAATGGCTAAGAATGGTTTAGGAATGGTTTTCTAAAGTTTTTTTTTTTTTTTTGTAAAAAAGAGGCAACCCATGCTTGCAACAGAAATATATGCCCATTCCATTATTCCTTGGGGAAAGAGTGAACCAACAGGCCGGTAAAGTATCAGATGTCAAAATTCCTTGGAAACACACACGAAACGGACATTTTTTTCTTGACCATTTTTTCGAGAGTAGCATACTGGCCTTAAAACGGTTGTACCTNGGTTTAGGAATGGTTTTCTAAAGTTTTTTTTTTTTTTTGTAAAAAAGAGGCAACCCATGCTTGCAACAGAAATATATGCCCATTCCATTATTCCTTGGGGAAAGAGTGAACCAACAGGCCGGTAAAGTATCAGATGTCAAAATTCCTTGGAAACACACACGAAACGGACATTTTTTTCTTGACCATTTTTTCGAGAGTAGCATACTGGCCTTAAAACGGTTGTACCTTAAAGTAGGGATAAATCGTTACCATCAAGATATTACTCAAATCAGTACTACCTACTCAGTATCGGAAAGGTATCGAGAACTTGTACATAGAATTACGGTTTTGCATTTTTTTCAAGGTTATCGTATTTTTTTAACAAAAAGCCCTTTTAGGTGTAGTCGCACGCGTGGTCTAGGTAGCTTATTCAATGGCTAAGCGCTAACTGCCAATTCCGCATGAGTTTTGGTCGGGAACTGTCTGGACCGCATGCATGATGACTTAATATCGTTTTAGTCCGCTATTGACGTACCTGTTGGGAGAGTGACGAGATGGAAAATCTCAGAAACTTATACTGGGGTTGCGACGAAACATACTTTTAAGAAAAATTAACTCGCCAGATGGCGCTAGAGTCGAGTTATTCAGAAAATTTTATCGTATATTGTATGACCAGATTTTGATGATGTGGGATTTGTTTTAAATTTATAAAAAAATACCACCTTTATTTAACTAAACCACTGTGCGCTCTGACGTCATCGCTGTTTGCCAGCACCAACACCGCCATAGTTAGCCAACGCTTTGCTAAAGCTCTTATTCCACCGAAACACTTGATTTACAAAACAAGCAGGCTACAACAACAAAATACAAATAACTAACAACAACTACCACAAGTGTTGCTACACAATCATACAGAATTTACGAGTACAAGTAAAATAAAAAATATTTAATAATAAAACAAACAACATGGCGCCATACTTTGCCAACTTCCATGTTTTCCTGCTAGTCATAACACAGTTTTTCGCACACACCCACGCCGGCTTTTAATACCAGCCAGCTTTACAAGAAAAAACACACACACACATCCCTTACACATACTACCAGGACAAACGCTTACTACTTGCGTGCTCTACTTCTCCTCTTCAGTGCACTTGACGACCGACACCAAAAGTCGTTTCATTTCACCACCAACATGTCAAGATTATTTTTTTATTACTTTCTGTTGTACGAGTAATTTTACGAATTTTGTATTTATGTTCTCACAAATTTTTCTTTTGTTTTACTTTACAGGGTTTTATTAAAATTTACAAACAATTCTTCCCGCAAGGAGATCCCAGTAAATTTGCCTCGCTGGTGTTTCGTGTCTTCGATGAAAATGAGGTAAGTTAGTCACTGCAGTCGCCAATAACATTCAGAGCGAAGTAGAAGTAGAAAGAGTATAAATATATAAAATAATAAATACATACATACGCAACCAAAATGGCAGTTTGTAAAAACAACAATCAGCATTGCTTTGTCGTCCATTCCCATTGTTCTATTTGGCAGTGGCTGAAAGTATTAATTTTGCTGCAGCTTTTACGTGAATTGGCTGCTCATTTATTAATCCGATTCAATCGTAGACAATCTATTTTCATTCAATTCCTTTCACTACATTCGATTCCGAACATTTCGATTCAATATTGCATACATTCAGGATTGTGTATCTTTCCTTAAGTCAATAGCTTGAATGAAATTTTAGCTTTTAAATGAATCAACAGCGAATTTGAACTATAGCTTCATGCTTTCTTTACAACTTTTCTATTTTTCTTCTTCTCTTATTCTTAACTGCTCACGGTTTACCTACTTGTTTATTCGCTTTTGTCTTTTCTGCCCTTTTCTCGTTTTTCCGCCTCTTCCTCTTTGCTTCTCTTTATTTCAGGATGGCGCGATTGAGTTTGAGGAGTTCATTCGAGCGTTATCGATTACATCGCGCGGCAACCTGGACGAAAAGCTGCAATGTAAGTACAATCGGGGGAATGTATACGCCGCACACGTAGATTACTGCAAATTACTAGGTATGAATAGCTAAGCAGAGATTTGCACGATATTAAATTTTTATACCTGTGAATATTGATATGGCATGCAGTCAGTGGGGTTGGAGAGGGAAATTTAATACATTTTTTTTTTTTTTCGTAGAATATGTGAGCATGAACGACTGTTTAGAGACTTTTTGAGCTATTAAATTTCAGTAATTTAAACTTATAGTCAAATTCAGTTAATACTCAAAAAAACTAGAAAGGTCCTTCCAACGAAAAATTCCAATAAATCTCGTAGGAGAATATGAGATGATGGCTCAGCCGGGCAGGTCGATGTCCTCGTTGGGCCTAAGGCAGGCATCAGCACTACGAAAATGATACGTTGGACGGATTGATGTAGGCGGAGAAAAACACTTTACGGCATCTGCTACAGTTGCCTTTCAATAAGTGAAAGTTCGGCGTAAAATTTATGAAGGGAACGAGAGCCCGACGAAAAAGGAAGATGATATTACTAAAACTGTTGTCCTTCCAAGACATTCATAAAAACCATGCTTGGCGGTTTTAATGCTCTTAAAGGGGCCACACCCATAGGCTTCATAGGCTGTAGCCATCGCGGAGAAAGCTATAAAAGCAGTTGAGGAGTGGCGAAGCACAATTTTAATGCTAGTATGGGAAAAGGGGGCATTTTTGGTTCCACAGTCGGTTGGTTGAGCCTCAACGATGAAACTTTCAATAAAACAACAAGGCTTAGAAACTACGGCGTAGCGCGGAGTATTGTAGCTCGTGTCCGAATCAAAATATACTACAAATCAAACGTATGGGCAATCTGAAGGCTCTACAGCAATTTGGTTGGACTAAAATGACTTTTTTCCAGGAACGGTAACTATAAGTTGTCTAAATAAGATAGTTAGGAGATACGGTGGGTGCTGAAAATATATTTAGTTCATCAGGCAGCTGATGTAAAGAAAACGTAAGGCAGCTGCGAAGAAAGTACTGGCAAGTCTCAAAACAGCTACGGCAATAGTACTCCCGAGACGATGTTAAGTCATAACGCTGGAGTTCCTACATATTATGGAAACAACTTCTCAGGAGAAAAGAAAAACAACTCAGAAAATGCCCTGTCAGCTTTGCTGTTATCTGCAATATCGATATGCACTGTAAACCAAATCAGCCTAATTTAAAAATACGACTACTCTGAGGCCACCGAAAGAGTGGACCGACATTGCCACACCAGTTTTGATTGCAGCCCTTGTTTCTTCACTTCGAATAGAATTCTCCGTTAAACCGAATAAGTCGGAGTGGCACCACCGATTATCGTTCCCTTCTAAACACGTGGTGAGACTAAATATAACACCCGATCCATGGCATCATCTTCACAATTTCTTCAAAGTCATTTGGCCTTTGCGAGGCTGAGGTCTAAATACATAATTCGGCTTGCGGAAGTTCGTGCCCCAAAGTGTTTTTCAAGTTGCTGATGTTCCAACTATGTACCTTAAACAAGGTGGCGCAAAATTAAACACCCTTCTTCTTAATCACTTCTTTCTTTAGGACTATTTGAAGTCGCAGGTTTATGCCAAAGGCCCCATAAAATCGCAGCCCTTAAGGAGAAATTCGCCATGAAAGCGAACAGTTATCGCCGGAAATCTTGCGGAATGTCATGGACGGATGTCACTTAACAGCAAAGGGCAAAAAAAGATTTCCAGAACACAAAATAATTTTTTTTTTTATTTAGTAAAAAAGTTATTGAAAAGCAAAATGGATGATTAATTTTGGGCCCCCATACCTTAACTAAGTATAATTTTATGGGATACATTTGAAAAAACAATAGGACCGATTTCGATTAGAAAAAATAATATCTAATATGTTAATTTTTAGGCATAAAATATATAGGAAACCTACTGTTGTAAGTAGATATTTATAAGCATAGATGCTCTTTTTTAAAATTATAGTATCTACTAGCTGTTCAAGAGTCTTTTAAATTACAGCAAAGTACGGAAAGTGCCATTAATTAAATTATTAAAATATTTATTATCACGAATGAATTCTACATGATTATGTAATCTTTCAGGGGCATTCCGGTTGTACGATGTGGACAATGACGGCTACATAACGAGGGAGGAAATGTACAACATAGTGGATGCAATATACCAGATGGTGGTAAGTAAAACAGTTTTTAACCATAAAAAACTAATGCTCTTCTAGTTTTAAATCCCCTTCTTAAATTATATTTATGTACATATGTACGCAAACACCACTGCCTACATACATATTATCTATGCACTTTTATTTTCACACTAAAATTGATCACTTTCTATACCCCCCACCTCTAATAGGGCCAACAACCTCAGACGGAGGAGGAGAATACACCGCAAAAACGGGTCGACAAAATATTCGATCAAATGGATAAAAATCATGATGATCGGTTGACGCTCGACGAATTTCGTGAGGGTAGTAAAGCTGATCCACGTATAGTGCAGGCGTTAAGTTTAGGTGGTGATTAACCAAAAGAGACTTAGTTTAATTCTGTAACAGATTAAACGAGAAAGCGCAAACAAAACAAAAGAAAGAAACTTAAGAAATTAAACAATAAAAAATGAAGAAATATTCATAAAAAAAAACTAAATACATAGTAAGGGAAAAAAGAAGCAGCAGGAAATCTAGGAGGTTGGTAAACATAATTTCTTGCAAAAAATATTTATAAATTATGAGAGATGAGTCATAATCAAAAGGAAGAAGCACACATTAATTTACACAAACACAAATGAACAGCGTAGGCCTGAGTTATGCCAATGGCAGTCAGCTGGTACTTGCATATATTCAAATGTACATACACACATACTTACATACAAAAAAGTATAGCCATTAGTTTACTTAGCATGGAGTTAGACTATGAAAAACCACAACAACATACAAACGAAAAAGTTTCAAGTAAGGCAAGCGGTAGAAAAGCTTCGAAAACCCAACAAAAAAAATGTATTTCAAGAATGCAAAAATAAACGAACTAGCAAATTAAATTCAAAGCGAACTTAGGTGAAACGGGTTAAGTGTAGATTACACCGCCAACAAAGACACTGTGGTTGTACCGCTAACGTACACACACACACACACACGCATACGCAAACATAGTTTTAGTGAATTCAACGAAATAGAAATCAAAATCTGCCTGAAACTGACAGTCTTATACGCAAAAGCAGCCAACAAGATTTAGAGAAATACTGAAATAAAAGTAAACAACAAAAAAGCCAACTTCTAAGCAGCAGATTTGTAGGAAGTAAAAAAAAAAGTTTTCGCGGAAGTAATATTGGAATTCATAGAGGAAATTAAAATTGACTTTAAACACTGCAGCTAAAGGTCGAATACAAAGGTGCGTTTTGAACAATTACAAAAACAAAATAAAAAAAATAAAATAAGATAAGAGGAAAAAAGTAAGAAAAGTAAGAGCAACAAATTTCACACTTTCTATTTGCAATAACTATGTATATAAACATACATACACAAGTATCAAGTGACAACAAAAATTAAATACATTTTTAGGATGTGCTTAAAAATAGGATGTGCTTAAATATAAAGTGCACTAAAATTGAAACAAAATAAGTGAGCTTTAGTCATTTCGTACCTCTTGTGCTTAAACGACCGGTTACTTGTACCGATTGCAACTGAAAATCTTGCTATCTCCATAAACAAGACCCTTTACTTTTGGTTGCTGAATTTTGCCAAATAACCAACGCGTCCAGATACAAGTGACCGGTCATTTAGGCACAAGAGGTACGAAGTGACTTATGCCACTTTCAAAATAAACATAAAACATAAACATTTTGAAGGCTTGAGTGCTTTACAGATAACATTGCCAGTTGCGATAAAGAAAATATTTATTAATCAAACATGCATGCCTGCGCAGAAGCTTCTGCATAGATATTGGGCCTCTAACATAAAAAGTAAGCCTAAACTTTTGGTGTGTGTAGGGCCCATTATCTGAAGCACAGCACGCAAGTTTGGCAAACATTGAAAAATATTTAAAGAAACGAAATTGTTATGAACAATGACACCAATTTATAATATAATTAATTATATAAATTCATTACTCATAAAGAAATCTATTAGAATATTAAAAAAAAAATCTTCAAAAATCAATTGCTTTGTTTTTTTTTTCTTTTAATATGCGTCCTTCAAGACGTTAAAAACTTTGCACTTTCCTTGAAGTTTCAAGTTAATATCTTAAATAATCAAATAAAAATAAAATTAATATTCATGTCATGAAAATTCAACTGCAAATTCTGAATAGGTAGCGAAGTGCAATAATTTCTAAGCGCTGATAATAATAATCTTAGTCCAATCAAGCTATAAAAAATAGCAATTTTTTTAGTATCTATGTTACGATTCGCGAATAATTTCGATTTATGCAAATGAGGAGATTTTAAAACAACTCTTAAATATTTACTTAGAAATCATTCAAGTTGCCATCTTCGCTTAAGAAATAAATTCTTATAAGACCCTCATACATTTTTTATGTGACTGTTTTTTCCAAACATGGGGACTGTTTTTTCAAACATGGTTGGGTGTTTTCATAGTTTTCATAATCTTTGTGTAACCCAATTTCATGAAAAATGTTGAAAATTCTATTTCATTTAGAGCTGTTATGAATTATGAATTAGGGAACAAAAAGCCTGGTGGTGAGGGCAAGAAAATTGGTGTGCAAACTTATAACAGAACTTTATTCAATTATTCTTTATCAATAGATTAGGTACTGAATTTTAGTATACAGAATTTTCATCATCACAATGGTTTGGCAAAAATATTCAAATACTGAGTTTATCTTCAAACTGTTGGAGTAATTTACTTCTTTAGTTCAAGAGTTGAAAAGAAGGATAAACTCACAGATGTCCTGTTAAAAATGTTCCCTGGATGCCACTATCCAATACCTACATATGTAGAATTGCTCGTTGATTGCAAAAATCGAGTTAATTTCCCCGTTATTCAGCTAAAAAAAAGTGGTTTCGCTTAATCACACATATATTACGAATCAATTGAATAATCTTAATATGAATAACAGTACATACATCACATTTCGATAGCCTTATAGCTTCGGAGAAATTAATTAATAATTCCAGATTTTTTTTTCTATGTATAAAAAAAAATTAAAAAAAAAAAACAAACCCTAACAGGAAAAAATTTAAAGAATAACAGTTTATGTGTAATTTTTTTCCCTGATCTGTTACAAAAAACAAAGTACTCATGAAGAAAATCAATATTCATACGCCATGTAACAAGCACTCTTTCGTGCTCAGATTTCATACAAAAAATCCTAGCTCATTTTAATTTCACTAATTCCTTTTTTATGTAAGGGAACAGGCTTTTATACAAAATCAAACAGTCTACCAAAAATTTTTTTATTTTTTTTTATTTTTCCCCTGTTAAAATTGGAATGATTTATTAATTTAACAGACACTAACGGGCCTATCAAAAGTGATGTATGTATTTATATATATACATAGGTGGCTTTCCTGTTTGCTTCGTGGCGTGTGTCCATTTTTTTATCAAGGATATTTTTCAGGGCTTGACGAGCCGAAAAACTATGGTAAATTATCGATATTACAGCAGTGAGTCTGAATTGATAAGGCTATCTTAGGAACCTAACTGGAATTACATAGCAGTCTCAGTAGCAATATTTTTAAATAAAAATTTTAAATAAAATGTGCCAGACCCTGGTGCATAACGGAAGGTTAAGTCAGGCTTAGTTGAACAAAGAAATGAGTTCAGTTTCTTTTTTAACTTTTTTTGTTAAAAGATGTATAGGAAACATATAAATTATAAATAATTCTTAACAAAACAATGTAAACTTAGTTGAAGTCATTAACAATTGGTGATTGGCCTTAGCGTCAAAATTTTTAGCCCGTTAAATTGTGGCAGCTGTAGAAAAATTTTTACAAATTTTTTCACTAAGTAGAATTGTATACCTATATGTATTAAAATACATATCTACATAAAAGCAAAGCCAAAAAGTAAGTATTTTAATATTTTTTGCAAACTATTATTTTTTTCAATTTTTTTAATTCTCAAGTTTTTAAGCATGATTTTTTTTTTCTAAAATTACCCTCGATATACTATATATGTATATTTAGTATTTATACTAGCAATTTATTTGGCATTGAATTTTTTTCTATGTGAACTTTACAAAATTATTTGCATGTTTCCAAATTTATACACACTTTTTCTACGCTGAAAGAAAACACGTTAAACAATTTTTCACATATCTTCTACTTATGCAAATTTAAGTAATGCATTTTTACTTAAATTACATAATTACTTTTCCGAAATATTTTTATAACTATGCACAAAAACGGAGCTAAACAGCCTGATTCAGTATACTTCATAAATTCCAAATATTTACTAATTATTTGGTATGCTTATTTAGTTAGACAAGTTTACAGAAATAAAAAAAATTTTCCGGCCATAATTTCTAAAGTAAAATTTTCCGCCGAATACGAATATGTAGTCAAGATAAGAAAAAGTAGCAATGGTTTTTAAGGCATAGCAAACTATTTTTTAGATCTTAAACAAATGCGCTCACTTAAATAATAGCAGTTTTTTCAATATAATTGTCCTATCTTAAATGGTTTTTGATATAAGGGAAGCTTATTAAATCCACATGTAAGCTTCCTAAGCTAGTAGCTCGGTTGGAAAATGTTTTTGTCGTAGATGATAGGAAACTTAATAGGCTTCACTAATGTAAGCCAAAATTTTAGATTGGGCAACTATACCAAAAAAAACTGTTATTGAGTTGGTAGACTCTTTTCAGATCTCAAAAAAACAAACTGTGGCTATATCTCAGAAACTGTTCTACTTTTTTATGTTTTGACTTCATATACAGATTCGGCGGAAATTAAACATAAGAAATTATAGTCAAATGCCACAGGTCGGATTTTTTGTCGACAAGTGTTATCAGGATTAAGCAAGAAAACCCGTTTTGCTCCAATTTATTAGGAAACACTACATTTGATAGAGAAATTATTATTTTCTCATAGGTAATGTCTGCGGCATTTTTTAAATGAATTTCTTTATTTATGTTAATGAGTGTTCTTTGAAGTCAATTGTTTAAAAGCAAGATCAATGAAGGATACGTTCTCCGCCTTATTTGATTATCAGTTTCCATGATTCGGTGAGCTGCACACATCCCCGTTAGTGAAATGAGCTTGTTTTGATAGCCGAAAAACTGAACAAGATAAAGACTTACCGCCAAGTGAGAATAATGTTTGCTTATTGAATTGAATTGAAGTGAACTTAAATGCACACTTACACATACATAAGAGCATACACACATTCCCTATATGGTTAGCCTTTTCAAACCTTCTACTGAGTTTTATGTCCACTTTCTATGTTCCCGATTTTCTTATACTTCAACTATCTTTTTCAGTGTATCACCAATCTAAAATAATTTCTGTTTTATATGTGGTTCAGCTTTGGTTTTAGAAAACAAATAAAATGCCGTTGTATAAATAAACAAAAGAAAGGTAAAAAAAAAAAATTAATTTAAAAGTTGTTGCATAACGCAACTTGTTGGTAAAAGAAGTTGCTTAAGCAGCAATTTATATATGAATGTATATTTAATTAAAGCAAATCAAATGTACTTAAATAAGTCAAATATTTTTTTGTTAAATTGAAATACATAAATAATTTAAATATATTTCAACAAAAATACAGCAAAGTTTTTTTCTTACTTTAGTAGAAAAGTTAGATATAAAACCTTTTATTAGAACTAGAACACTAGTTTAGACGAAAAATAATTAACTGCTATAAGCTGACTTTGGGTCGCTGAACACGAAAATAATACACATTTTTTCAAAAAAAAGCATTTTCGAGACTTTTTCGAAAAACGCGTTTTATGGTACTTTTCGCAATAATTCGTCAGTGTCTCATAAAAATCATGCA